ATATAAAGATGTGTGTGAGGCTGCTTATCTGTTAACAAAGTACACCATGAAGAACCAAATGGAATTGAACGAAAAGTAACGATTAGATGAACCGATTAACCTTTGGAGTCAACCAGATCCAACATGGCCGACAAAAACAAATGACCTTTGAAATCACACAAACAGCTGTAACTCAATTTTACAGATATTGAACACTTTTCATGTGAACAGCTGTGGCTCAGTCATTTGTCCACATAAAGAGGATCTTATTTAGAATGAAAGGTGGTGGGCGATATGCACTCTAAGAGTTCTGTGTTGTTTCATTACTATTACTTACTATTTAGGAAAGTTACAACTACAACTATTTTATTGGCTAAATTTGCCTAATACTATGTATTGTTTTGTGAAATGATTACTATAAAGTTCTATTCTAATCTATTTTTAAACACTGTAGTGTCATTTTTAGCACTTTTTAGTGATTTGGCTTGAGGAAATAAAGGCTTTAGGAATGTTGTTTGGCAACATTTGAGTTGATAAGAAATGTGTGTTAGATTTGATACACATCTGAGGAGGCAGTAGATCTGTAGCAGGCACAAGACACATTTACACACTAGAGTAAAAAAAACAAACGAAAAAAAAACAAAAACAAAACAACAATCTCTGTCATCGTTCCACAAACCCAAATTCCCCTCCTGTCCTCTGCCTTAACGGACTAATTGGTGACTTAAATCACAAAGTTACTGATTCTATCCACAAAAGCAGGCAGAGCTCTGACCTGACAGCAGTTATCTGACATGCAGTCATCCATGAAAACACACATTTACTTATCTATTTCTTATTAACCATTTATTTAACCAGGCAAATCCCATTGAGACCCCAGATTTCATTTTCAAAGGAGGCCTGGACCTGAAGGCAACACGAACATGGATGTTTTTGAATTGTGGGAGGAAACCAGAGTAGACAAACATGAGGAGAACATGCTAACTCCACACAGAAAGCGCTCAGGTCCAAACCAGAGTTCGAGCCCAGGACCTCGTCGCCTGCTATCGCTCGTGTCACTATCGGACTTTGTTTACTGTCAGCTGTGGTGAGCAGCATCCCGCCACAGCCTGGAGTCGCAGCACATTTTTCCTCTGTGGGAACATTCACGAGAAAACGCATTTACACAAATATGACAGTGTGTAAAACACGCTGGGGATTTTCAGTGAGAAGATTATTTTAATTTCTGGGGCTTTTGTCTACCAGGGTAGTAAAATGCATAGTAAAAATGTATGTGATGATTGTATGAGCGGTCGAGGGAAAAAAACAACTACAATCTCTTTTTTTCTCTTTTTAAATAAAAAACACAACAGCTTTATTAAAGCTTATTGAAGTTTACACTCTGTATACTATAGTTTAGGTTAATTGTGCCTTTCTTTTAGCAACATATCGTAAGGATCAGTGGATGAATTGTACATCTACATCTGATTAACTTTTGGATTCAACCTGACTCAAGATGATCAGCTAATAAACACAAAAAAAAAAAAAAACATCATCAGGTATACAGATAACTCTTTTTTTGAAACTAGTCACATTTTCAGTCATGGAAAAAGTGATGTGGTAGATGAGTTATCCCCAACACTCTAGTGCAGGGTTGGATAATCCTGGTCCTGGAGGGCCGCAGCCCTGCATGTTTGACTTGTTTCCCTGCTCCAACACACCTGATTCAGTCACTGAATTACCTCTTTCATGTTCTGCAGAAGCCTGATAATCACCCATTCATTCAAATCAGGTGTGTTGGAGCAAAGAAACACTTATAGATATTTCAGTATTTTGTTGGAATTACGTAAACAGACATCATTTAAATATACCTGTATTTGTGCATGCAAAATGTGACCCCACATTTTTGGTGCTTGGAAAGCATAATAAATCTAATCCTCATTTATAATGCTAATCCTGACTTCATACAGATTGCAGGAATCGTTAATCTTATCGATGCACCGTCTGGTAGGTAAACAGATTTTCTTGGGGACACACACTTGTGGGTCTGCTCCAGTTTCGAGGAGCAGCTCTTCTGGTCATATTGAGCCTGGTAAACATGCAGCTGACGAGGTTTTGCTCCTCTGACTCCTCATCCAACAAAATGAGCCTCTCTTCAAACGTCTCTGAGTGAAAAAACAGCAACTATTCTTCATTGTTTAGCTACACGACATATTCTATAAGGGGATATCAGATGGAGGATGATGGTTTACCCCCCCATACACACACACACAGACACACACACAATATTTTAGTTATATACGAGAAATTTATTGTAGAAGTACACTAACAATAAATTGGTAAAAATTTACTCCCGTGTAAAATACAGCCCTCTAACTTTATGGACGATGTTTGGGGTTAAATATTTTCGCATTATACAGGAAAAAAATATGGTAAATAGCAGTGCTGTATAAAGTACCACAAAGGGATACTTGAGTAAAAGTGCAAGTATCTTACCAAAAAATTACTTTGGTAAAAGTTAAAGTCTCCTTTAGTAATATTACTTGAGTAAAACTATTAAAGTCTCTGATATTTTTGTACTTAAGTATTAAAAGTATTGATTTAAACTGAGCAGTTAGATTTTTCATAATGACATTTATTAGGTGACCTTCCACCAAAAAAAATAAAAAATACAGAAATGACTTTACTATATAAATTTAGGATGCACTAGTATATATAAACTGTTTCAGTTTATATACATACCAAGGCTGCCAAAACCTTTTCCCCAAAGTGAAAATATATCCAAAGGCTGAGGTCAAATGCAATAAATACTTCTTAGGTGCAGTCTTTTTTTTTTTTTTTTGAATGATTAAGTGAGCAGCCAGTGCGGTGGCCCA